CTGGCTCGCTGATACTCGTGATTAAGCCTCACGTAGTGATGTTTCAGAGGAAGCGTGCGATACTTCGTAAATCTTCTCAATGCTGCTCTCTTGGTTGACTTCAACCTACGCAGCTCAATCGTCTGCCAGGGAGGGTGAGAGTCTTTGCGTTGAATTCTTTTCGGGACGTGTCTGTCAATGACATATGCCAAGACATGAGAAAAAGTTTGCGCAGCGACCTCAACGTCGTCATGATCGAGAATGTTCTCCCAGTCCATGTTTGACAATACATCTACAATGCTTCGATGGTCGGCCTTTCGAAAGTCATTAGAAACCGCAGCAGGAAGACTATCGAAATCACGAACGAGATTGTCCTCAACAGTGACAATCAGAGGAGGGTGGTGCGGAACAAGCTTAACTAGTGGACAAGGTGCTGTGGAAATGAACGGAGCATTGTCCTGAGTGCTCACGAAGCAGAGGTCCAAACTACGGTTGTTCTCGTTGACTACGTAGTTAATTTGAGAAAGCGTTGCTACGCTATAGTTATCGAGAAGGCCGATAGCTCCTGCATGAAATACAGAACGTTCTGGATCTGGATAGAGGAAGCCGCTATGGGATGGTCTCCACGAAACGCCTGCTAGGTTAAAGTCCCCAAAAATGAATAGCTCATCAATTGGAGTCGCTCTTTCCATTACTGTGAAGACTGATTGACAGTGAGTCTCGATGAGTTCAAGATCACGAACTCGATCTGGAGGCATGTACAATGCGCACAAAAATAATATGCGATCGCCCAGTTTAATGGCTGTCCAAACCTGTTCCACACTGTTCCATGATTCATTTTCGATTGCTCTCGCCTCCAATCCGGAACGGACAGCCACAAGAACGCCACCACCAGTAGATTTTCGGCTGTTGTTTGGATTCCGATCGCAACGAAAAACCTCATAATCGGATCCGAACACCTGGCTGGAAAGCGTTCGCGAATCGAGCCACGTCTCACAATCACATCATAGCAACGATTCGATACAGCAAGCCGGTAGTCGTCAACATCAGAATTCATTCCGCCGGCGTTTTGGAAGAAAATCACGATGTCCTGCTTGTGGCTTACAATCGAACGTCTGTTCTCCCTGGAAATCACGGAAGCATCAGGCAGCGAATGAACATTAACAATACCATGCAGATACTCGCCAGTGACTGGGTTGGAAGACCCCCTCTCCACATCCGACTACAGGTCCGGAACGACTATGGTGAGTGGCGGCAGCAAATGACTGGACTGAGACGGAGGGATCAGGGGCTTCCACGAGGCTTTCTACGGCGCGTTCCGGGCTCCGAGGTACGAGAGTTGATTCGGCGGCATTCAAGGTGCTGACATTTGGATCGGCATCAGACATCGTATTTGCGCTATTAATTATGTACTCGCCTGTTCTAGCAAGTTGGAAGACCCCCAATCCACATCTATAGTCAGGGCCAGGACGACTATGATGAACGCTGACAGGAATTAGCACGACTGAGTTAGAGGAACCGGGGGCTTCCATAAAGCTTTCCACGATGCGTCCCGGTTGCAAAGCAGATTGGTTCATCCAGAGTTCAGAAGACATCGAGCTTACTAGTCGTTTTCAGAAGGCGAGGTTGGATCGGATGGTTTCGTTAAGTATTCGCTGCTGGAAGCGGAAGGTGGCTCAGAAAAAGAAGGTTTTGGAACGTATCGATACTTGCCTGTAAGTACAGGCTGGAAGACTTCGTCACCGATTCCAAAACCAGGGCCAGGACGACTTCTGATGATTAGATCTACAAACAGCTCGACTGGTTCGGAGGGATCAGAGGCTTCCGAAGCGCTGTGTTGTAGCGTCGCATATCCGCCCAACAGCACGTTAGTAATTGAAAAGGAAGTATCCTGGAACTGGTGTCACTGTGCTGGACCAATACGGGTGATTTTGGTCACCTTCTTTGACCGGGAATCATCGAACTCACGGAACTGAATGCCCTCCGGCCACGAATCGCAGGAAAGTGCAACATCCCGTTTGTTTTGGTTGACGCCGACTTTGAAGGAAATGTAGTTTAACGTTGACGGATCTTTTCCTCTGGGAACCAACTTGGCAACCCGAGGTTTCTCGTCTGTTTCCAGACACAAACACTTAGAGACAAGAGATGAAATTTCATCGTTCGTAGTAGTGGGATGAAACGCCGATAAGTACACCCACACCAGATCATCGTTCAGGTCCACGGTTCTGACCGAGTCGATAGGTGCTTTCTTACCACACAGTATGGGCTTGTCTTCAGTGCTAGATGAAGTATGGCGACGTTTCGGAGTGCCACGACCGGAATCAAAGCGGTCAGTTTTAGGCCAACGTGGAGTTGAGCCGACTAGGATCTTCGATTCCACTTTGGCTGCAAGAGCAATAACAGCCGAATTCAATTTCTCGATGTCCTCTTTCATCGAATCAACCGCGTTTGGAGCCACAGAAGTCTGATTGACGTCACTGCTCACGATATTACGGAAGTGGCCGTTTGAAAAAAGCGCCGCACAGTGATCGCACATCCAGAAGACATTCTTCTCGTACAATCCAAGTTGATCGAGAAGTTCGAGATCAACTTTGGCACAAATCACGTGAAATGTGTCACCACAAAAACCGCGAAAAACAATACGTTCGGAATCCGAAATGGTTTTTTGGCACTTCTTGCAAGCCATGATCACAAAAAATGCGACGCAAACTTTATACACGCAACAAAGACTACCACGTAACGAAAAACTATAGCAAATTTCCGATGCGCGAAACGAGGCAATCAGACGTAGAAACACTATTCAATACACAAAAGTACGGTACACTGATCCAAAACATCCGCAATACTTCGAATGATTATTGCATTGCTCGAGCCCTTTAACAATATGCATTCAAATTTCAGATGATTTTCTTATGGTTGAATTCGTCGTCAGATGATGAACATCCATATGATTGTCATCCAAATATAGGATGATTTTCGTTTGAAAATTAGCTATAAAACATACGGCACTCAGAGGACAAACATTTAAGAATAGTGTGACATGCAAGTGCTTTTCATTAGATTTATAATTTGATAATTTACAATTCCATACTGAATAGCCATTATAAGCCATTTCAATTATGCATACAAAAAATTTTCGTGGTGGAGAAAACCTCCTTCACCACGAATTAACCAAACATTGGTTTTCATCCTTTATCTATGTTCGTAACAGCTCTGATAGCGATGCATATGCTTCCATCTCGTTTGTCAGCTCAGATCAGCAAATGACGTTCGATAGAATTATTTACATCATCGTTTTGAATGATTTGCGTTATGGGGATGAACCAATACCATATGCATTTCCATTTAGTATGACAGTCATTCTGCAGAGAGCATTACGCATTTCAACTGAAGGCCCTATCCCTTCTCATAACAAGTTTCATCTTGTATTAGAGAGGAAAATCATCTGATTTCAAAACAACCGTCATCCGGTTGCAGCTATCATTCGAAAAAGCGATGTCGGTGTTTTGTTTTGAATGGTCTGAGGTTTCATTCGATCAGAGGATGATGTTTGTGTACAGTGTAGCAGAGTGTAATGCAACAAGAGATACTGACAATTTGGTACGCTAAGTACGGTAGCAGTACTGCAGCGACAGATACAAAACAAAAAATGTAAATAAAATGAAGATTGACACCACTGTACCACGGGACGACACTTTTAATCTACAATTTCTCACTTATCCACAAAGCTACACGAAATCCTACACTTCACAGAGGTACACCAAACGAACTCGCACTCTATAACACAAAACACTACTAAAACAGTTCAAATTTACACGGGTAAAACGACGATTTGTCACCAGCGGGTTTACGTTTTCAACTATTTCAGTGAAGCTCTATAAACATCCGTAGTGCGTAGTTCTACGTCATACTGCGGTCGTGTCTAGGACACAGCTCTTCAATTTTTTGACTCAGCTCTGGTACTCTCTTCGGTCCCAAGCTAATCGATGCACCCCTCGAAACATAGGAAAATCCACGAGCCCCTCATTTTATATGTCAAACTGTCATAGCGAATCTAAACAAACATAGTGAGTACTAGAATTTTGACTGGAATGGGGCATGTTAATCGATTTGCTTGGGACCAATAGGCTAGTCAAGTAGTGAGCCAATTTAAAATCGTTAGTTTCTAATGGTTGGTACAACAGTACTGCTTTGTATGTTTGTCAATAGTTTGAAATATACTATGTAAAAAAATCATGTCACCCCTGGTCACTACCCGAATCTTGTCACTATTAACACTCGGAACACGATGCCAACGGTAAAATGTGTAATGGAAAATTAGCAATGTTTGAAAAATAATTGTTCAGCAATTTATCGATATGTTTCAAATATTTTTATTCCAATTAATCTGTAAAATATGAAGTTCCAAATGAGGCAAATAGAGTTGAAACTCCTCAATAAACGGTTAAGCTATGATGTTTCAAACATTTCAAGTTTGTGGTTACACGTTACCGGAGCAATCGTGGATCTGAGATGGGACCCATCGCTAAAAATCTGCTATTTATCAATTTTATATGGATGAACGCGTCATTGGGATGGTACTAATGGATATTTTGGTCGCTATTGAAAATTTAGTCGATTGATAAATTTATGTATGGGACCAAATTAGGGGCATTTAGGCCGACATTACATCCATTTCCCCTTTATGTGCTGATACGTGATCGATACATAAATATCATGATAAAATTGACGTGCTTTTTTGAGCATTGTAGGCATTGATTATCATCATATGAAAGAGTTCGAATTTAAAGCAAAATCTTTCATACATTCCAATCAACGCGTAATGATGCAGTCTTAAATCATGGAAAACTGATCTGCTTAAGCTCCAACTTCCGTGTCTTCCAAGGCTAAACTTTCTTGGACCCATAAAAAAAATAACTCTGAAAGCTTCCATCTCTTGCATTCAACTTCACCACCATAAAAATTTCACCACATACAACTTTCCTCATCACTTCTCTCTGCCTTTCTTTCTTTCTTTATAGCACGCATCTTAACGCGCAACTTCGTAGTCCCATTCCTGCTCGGTCTAAAGTTCAACCTCGCCACGCTTTTGCCGCTGATCTTCGGTGGTCTGATACTGCTGAGCAAAAAAGCTCTCATCTTGGGCAAAATTGCTCTCTTCGTATCGGGCCTGTTCGGCTACGGTAGCATCTTTTCGTCCGGACTCGGTTATGGCTTGTATCCACCTGGCCTGGGAGGAATTGGTAACGGATTTGGTGGTGGATTCCCCGCCCGTCCGTTCCGATATGGCGATGGGTTGAGTGATAAACCGGACTGGGAGAGTCCTCACCAGCAACATCAGCAGCAGCAACATCACCATCATCACAATCGGCCGCAAAGTGATTCATTGAGTCCGAGTTACTATGGGGCATCGTCTTCGCAGGCGGATGAAGGGGCAAGCGGGACGTTCTATAAGAAGAAGGATAAGTATTTGAACTTGGATGAAAGACTGGAAGCGCAATCATCAACATTGGTGGATAAATTTTACGAATTTGAGAAACAGCAGATGTTGAAGGATCGATCGTCAAGATTGTTTGAGAGGAAGTATTACGACGCGGAACAGGGAAAGGAGAAGGATGCTGCGAGTGGTGGGAGCAGCGGAAGCGCGGTGAAAGGAGATGGGTACACCTTTGTGACGGGGGATGCAGGTGAGAGGAACGAACGTTCGCTGCCCATGACGAGTGGCTACAGGAGTTTTGCTTGGAGTGACAGCTGAGGGAGCGAAGCTGAGTGATATGCAAATCAAAATTATGCCAAATATTTATTACCAAACGATATCATTAGTTGTAAGATTGATGTAAGGTATCTAAGATGATTGATGATGAATTTCGAATAAAATTGTATCTACCTTTTGAATTATTCGATTACGACTAAACGGCTCATCACCCCGATCATCAGGTAACTAAGTCATTGAACGGATCAAGTTCTTTGGTCGCACCGATCGAAACCAAAAGTAGGACTCCCTTCTCCCTTTCTCCAAGAAGCAGCAAACCATGTGTAGTCTAATCACTCACCTGGATAATTAATTCAACTTGCGCGTGTGCTTGCTTTCCGTCTTCTTCGCTCGGCTGTATCGGTACGAACATCTCATTTGTTTACATTTCTCCCCTAGTGGCGGTACCTATTATCTTCCTCCAATCCAAATAATTTGAGTGAGTCATACTAGTAGGTACCTAATGTACTTGGGCTATCACGAGCGCACCATCTCTCTCCGTTGTTGGTTTCGATTTCTAAAGCGCCATCTATCTATACTCATTCGCATTTGCACCAGTGATGCCACATTTGCCATCTGCATTTTGAGCTCCGCCTGAATAAATCTGACATCTGTATAGATCGATATATTTTCTACAAAAAATCTGCAATCTGTATACAGTAAAATCTGTATAATTCCAGAAAAATCTGTGTATGTGGCATCACTGATTTGCGCACACAGAACCAAGTGAACTGATTCGCCAGAAAGGGAACCGTCGCCGTTGTCGACGATTTTCCGTCTGGTGATTTCGAGGTCGAATCACTCTCGTTTGCGATCGAGGCTTTTCTTCATCAAGCTAATGAGCTTTACTCTTTTTTCCTTTTCCTATATTTTGGGCAAACATTTTGTCATCTTTTTCGGAAATTCAGATGACGGTAATTATACGAGTTACTAGATCAAGACCAACCGTTGAAAGGTTGCATTTTAACTCTATAAAAGATGAATGTCAGGGCAAAGTTTTCCATATTCGATTGACAGGTTGGTTCGGGAAAACATGTAAGCTTCATCATGAAGTTTTCGTTCGCTATTTTGGTTCTCGCCGTGGCAAGTTCGGTTCAGTTGTCGCATTCTATGGTTATCCAGGACTCCAGTGAAATAGCAGAAAATCGAACAAGTTCCACCCCAAGTTCAACGGCGGTGCTAGTGACCAGTTTTCGGAACTGCTTTACCGATATCGGATTTTTCGAGTGTGTCAAGAACGTTCTAGTGCGAACTTTGAACAATGCAATCAACAGCAATGCAATGGTGCGAGTGACTCGGTATGTAATGATCACGAAGAATCCAGAATTCAGTGTAACCGAAGCGGACGAACGAACTCCCGTCGATTGGCATACGATCATTTCGAAGATACGAGATTTCATCGATTCTCGGTCGATTCAGTTGAGTATGGTGGCTCCGGATGGTCGATCCCTGATGTCATTGGGCTCGGAAGGTCGTGGCAAGAAGCACAAACACAAACAACAAGGCGGAATGTACATGATGGGTGGAATGGCCTTTATGGCAATGATGGCTCAGCTGGTGCTAGGGAAGGTGGCCCTCCTGGCGGCAGTGGCGCTTATCATGGCCAAGATTGCACTGGTGTTCTCCACGCTGGTAAATAACCTTGGTTATCTTTTTCACTCGATAAAAGCATCGCAGGGTCATCGATACTGGTGGTAACAAGTGGGTGGAAACGGGCAGAAGGAATGACAAGAGCTCTTTGGAATTTTCTTTGCAGAACGGGTTCAAGAAGGCGGCAGCTGCCAGCGGAGGTGGGGCAGAACATGTGGTTTATGAACATTCCGGGCACGGATCCGGTAGTACTGGAGGAGGAAGTGGCTGGCAGCGAAGTATCGAACCCAAGCGACAGACGACCGGTGATGGAGGACAGTGGGATGATGACCTAGACGTTCCTTACAGAAGAAGACGGCCAGACTACGACTACCGAGATCCGCTGGATGGAGCTTGAGCGGGGCTAGAGGGTAGTGATAGAATTTGAAATGCATTGGATCTAGTGTAAATATGTTTGAAATTAAATATTAAGCATTACTTCAGGAGTTCCTCAGGATTAAGCAGTGGGTATTTTACTAAATTATTGTATTTATCAAGATTACAAAACGTGATTAATAAACATCGGTAACAAATCAGTGTTTAACATATTGAATAGATGAATTCGCATTTCTTAGTGTCGTACAGAATTCGTCTCAATTTCACTCGATCCATAGCGGCACGTTGTCAGTCTGCGAATGCTCCGCAGATCGCCTTCCACCTGGTCGATCAACCTTGCCCGCTGCACGCCTCTTCATCTCATTCCAGTCGATTCGTTATCGAGAACCACTGCCATCCGACATTCTAAAAACATGCCCAGGCCACCGTAGCCGCCCGATTTTTGCATTCACCTTCTCCACGTTCCATCTTCCATCCGCGCCGCACATGCAACACTATCCATTCAAAAACACTCCATGGTCCTCCATGAGCATAATCCAGGTCTCGTGGCCGTAGAGGACCACCAGTCTAATAAGCGTCTTGTAGATAGTCAACTTCGTGCGACGGTGAGCTTTATTCGACCCGAGCGTCCTTTGAAGTCCAAAGTAAGTACGATTCTCTGCCACAATGACTCTTTAGATTTCTCTGCTGGTGTCATTATCGACGGTCACCAGTGAGCTAATATTCACGATCTCGTCGACGACCTCGATTTCATCACCGTCAATCCGAATGAGAGGCTAACAAAGACTTGTTTCAATTGACGCAACGAATGACTAGAAAACTCCTTCTTTCGATTTTTCCACTTTCACTTCAATTCGAATTGTCAGGTGTCGCCGCGTCGTCAAGCATCATATCGGTTGGCGATAGAGATGGCATACGGATTATATGTAGTAATAAATTGTTATTTATAATAAACGAAAATTAAATTAGCGAGGCCATCCTGAAGTCCAGGATGGTGGCCATCGGGTTCAGAAAATGCCTCAAATACCTTACAATATGGTTTTTTTTCGGAACTGGGACGACGCGTAGATGTCAAAAATCGATATCCGGTGCCATTTTGGAATCCAAGAGGGAGGCCATCGGGTTTCAGAAAAAAAAAAGTTTCAAATACCATAACATATGGGTATTTTCGGAACGGAGACGATGCTTAGATGCCTAAATTCGTTTTTTTTTTTCCTTTGGTTTGTTTTTTCCGTCGATCTTGTTTTCCGTGCTGAGCACCAATGCTACCAACGTGCCAGGAAGGCAGCTCCCACACCTGAACCCTACCTATCGACCCATCAACTCATGAACCGGGGACCAACGGCTTTACTTCCCATCCGAAGGAAGGCGTGATCAGAGATGTTATGCCTCAGAACATCCCGGCGGCGCCGACTGGGATTGAACCCAGGCCTGTTGGGCTGAGAGGTAATCACGCTTACCACTACACCACCGGCGCCGTTAAACCTAAATTCGTTATCAGACATCATTTTGGAATCCAAGGTGGCAGCCATCGGTTTTCAGAAAAAGTGTAAAATATTATTCAAAATGGGTATTTTCAGAAAGGGGGTGACGCTTAGATGCTGAAAATCGATATTCAACGCAATTTTCGAATACAAGATGGTGACCATCGGGATTCAAAAAAGTGTCAAATACTCTAACATAGGGCTATTTTCGGAACGAGGACAACGCGTAGATGCCAAAAGTCGATATTCAACACCATTTTGGAATCCAATATGGCAGCCATCGGGTTTCAGAAAAGTGTCAAATCCCCTATGATATGGGTATTTTCGAAACTGGACCGACGCGTAGATGTCGAAAATCGATATCCTATGCCATTTTGGGATCCAAGAAGGAGGCCATCGGGTTTCAGAAAAAGTTTCAAATACCATAACATATCGGTATTTTCGGAACGGGGACGACACGTAGATGCCGACATTCGTTATCCAACACCATTTTGGAATCCAAGATGGCGGCCATCGGGTTTCAGAAAAAAGTGTAAAATATTATTCAAAATGGGTATTTTCAGAAAGGGGGTAGGGGTTAGATGCTGAAAATCGATATTTGACGTAATTTTCGAATCCAAGATTTTGACCATCCGGATTAAACAAAGCATAAATTACCCTACAATATGGGTATTTTCGGGAAGGGCACGATGCGTAGTTCTGAAAATCGATATCCGATGCTATTTTGGAATCCAAGATGGCGGCCATCGGATTTCACAAAGTGTCAACTACCCTACAATATGAGTATTTTCGGAACCGCCACGACGCGTAGATGCCAAAGATCGATATTCGACGCCATATTGGAATCCAATATGGGGTTTCACAAAAGTATCAAATACCCTAAGATCTGGGTATTTTCGGAACGGGGAAAACATGTAGAAGCTGAAAATCGTTATTCGAAGCCATTTGTAGGGTATTTGACACTACTTCTGAAATCTGAAGTCTGAAATCTGAATCGGACATCAATTTTCGGCCTCTAGATGTCACCCCGATTCCAAAAATACTTACATTGATTGGTATTTAACAGTATTTCAAACTTTTTCTGTGCCAAAGCCACAATCTTAGATTTAAAAAAATGCATCTAACATTGGTTTCTAGCCTCTAGACGTTAATAGGATTTCAAAAACACTCATATTGATAATTGACAGTATTTCCCACTTTTCTGGAACCAGAAGTTGTCACCTTACTACTACTTTTTAACAAATTTATGGTGGCCCTGAAAAGGACCGTTTTGTCGTGATGGTTGAGTGCTAGGCATAAATGGCCCACAGCGACTCACAAAGAGCTACTGAATTCGATCAGTAGCGGTGCGGCTTCTTCCTCCTTCTTCGGCGAATGGACGCTCATGTGGGCTGCTGCTCACTGCTTGCGGGCGGCCTTTCGTACCAGTCAAAGAAGCCAAACATCTCTTAGAAGACTGGTTACTTCGACAACACATAAAACTGTCTACACTGTGTATGGAAGAGAATGACTTTACATTCAGAGGTGACTATTATAAACAAACGAAGGGAGCACCGATGGGTAACCCTTTATCTCCTTTCTTGTGTGAACTGTCCATGGCTAAACTAGAGTGTCAGGAACACTGATCTGATTACCTTCGATGGTTGAAGGCTGTATGGTTGATTATCCCGGAAACTCGTAGAGTCATACACACAGGGTGGATTTGGCGGTGTAAATGCTATCCCGTGGTCCTTGTTTTAGGGATCTGCTTGTTGGTTGGGTAGAATATCCACCAGACACAAAAACTTCTTTCTTCTTCTTAAAATCACACACGCCACGTGCAAAGACAACGGACTCACAAAATATATTTTATTACAAAAAACTAACATCTATACAATCAGTACACAAATTACACTGCGGATCATCCCGTTCTTCTATCTCGTTTGGTTATCGAACTAACGTTAAATATCCTAAGCTACTGGTGATAGCATGCGGTGTTTTTCATCGGCTGTTATCGACAGAAAGATCCTATCTTATCATTCAGTGAGAAATCCTACCTAAATATTCACCACTGCAGCTTAAAGCCGGTAGCGGAGCTTTGAAGTGAAGATATCTTGTATTCCCAACGCGATATTTGCATTATCAAAAAACGAACGCCGAAACAATGAAGACAGCTATTCTATCTTGATGATGACTAAAGGGTTGCAGTCAATGTTGCTGGCTCTCTAAACAGAGAGAGTGAAGAGCTTTGAGTGGGTTGGTTTATTTCCTTTAAATTCCGTTATAATTGCTTATATTTTGACATATACGCGTATTTTGCCTACTACTTGCAGACTTTATCAGTGCCAAGTACTTAACACCACTTACTTGGCACTGATGAAGTCTGCAAGTAGTAGACGAAATGCGCGTATCTGTCAAAAGATAAGCAATTATAACGGAATTTAAAGGAAATAAACCAACCCACTCAAAGCTCTTCACTCTCCCTGTGTAGAGAGCCAGCAACAGTGACTGCAACCCTAAAGTCATCATCAAGATATGATCAAGATGTTTAGTTCAGATTGACGGTGACGAAATCGAGGTGGTCGATGAGTTCGTGTATTTGGGCTCACTGGTGACCGCCGAAAATGACACAAGCAGAGAAATTCAAAGACGCATTATGCCAGGGAATCGTGCCTACTTTGCACTCTGGTGGAGGTCCTCTACGCCCACGAGACCTGGACTATGCTCGTGGAGAACCAACGCGCCCTTGGTTTCTCCGAACGGAAGGTGTTGCGTACCATCTACGGTGGAGTGCAGATGGATGACGGTACGTGGAGGAGCTGCTGGGAGAACCATCCATCGTCCACATTGCAAAAATTGGGCGACTACGGTGAGCTGGGCACGTCATAAGAATGACGCACGGCGACCCATTGAAAATGGTTCTCAAAAGTGACCCAACAGGAACAAGAAGAACAGGCGCGCAGCGGGCAAGGTGGATAGACCAAAAAGAAGGCGACCTGTGGACCCTTCGCAGACTACGAGGCTAGTGAAGTGTGGCTATGGATCGAGTAGAGTGGAGACGACTTCTTCGGACAGCAGAGGACAACAAGGCCTTAGCCTGATTGGAAAGCAAGTCGGATGAGATCCTTTCCAATTGTTTGTTTAAATTGAATTCAATATTTACCAAATAACTTCTCAAAAAATTAATTGCGGAGCTCGGCTAGCTTATAGAGGCAGTCTTTGGCTAAAATTGTTTGTTGGAAAGTGGTTCGGTGGTCTAGTGGCAACCGTTTTTGCTTATTGAGCAGAACATTTAGTGTTCAATCTCAAGCTGCTTCATATTATAGAGTTTCAGGGTGAATAAAATTTATTCTTAATACGAAATAAAGTGTATTAGAATTCAGTTGGAGAAGCTCCTTCACATTATAGAGATATACTTTACATCAGCTTTCTATCATAATATGAAGCGTAAAAAAAAATCGGTTGGAGGGCCAGGTACGTAAAAGAAGTAATATTTGAGTTTAAGGCAAGACGTGTTGATTGGAAATCCATACCAAATCCTTCTCAAGAGCAGTTGGTG